GAATTTCACACATGTAAATTTGAATTTCACATATGTGAATTGCGAATTCACATAATTTCATTTTCACGTACAACATCAGAAAGAAAATCGGAAATATTTACCGGCAAAATAAGTATTACTATTATACGCAGCACTTTGATTGTTTATACAGGGATTTATTTCTTAATACAGTTATTTATTATTACCTTTCCTTTTATTGGTGCAATAATAACCGATAAGTTTCTTGATATCGAGAAAACACGTAAAATGATTTTATTATGCGATGTAACATTAGGATACTAAATGTCAAATTAAAGTGGAACCTTTTAGTTTTGTTTTATGAATTCTGTATTTTAATGATTTTTTTTTTTTAAAAAAATAACTTAATAATAATAGTAGTAGTAGTAATAGTAATAGTAGTAATAATAATAATAATCTATTACAAACAAAAGTATTCAATTATTTTTTTAAAAAGTCAAATTTATCAGAACATTCAAGAAATTAAATCATGTCAAATAGTAGCGATATTTCGAGTGTTCATAGTAATGAATCATCTAGCATAAATGAAAAGCTGCATTCTGGATCAGAAGAATCTAACAAAAAAATATTAACAACTTTTGCTGGCTTTGCAGGGAATGTCAATAACATTCTAGGATCTGTTAGTAATCTAAGTTTTCATGAATTGTCTATCATCTATTATCAACCATTAATATTCAATCAAACCTTTTAAATTTTAGGGCATCTATTCAACACCTGGAATTGTTTGGCAAACAGTACATAATTAGGATTTTTTAGTATTTTATTTAAAAAGCTAAACTTCAAAGCTCTTGATTAATTTATATGCAAAATTTTTTTTACAAAGGTTGATTCGCCTGGTATTGCATTGATTTTATGGATATTTGGTGGGTTCATAAGTTTATGTGGGTCATTAACTTATGTCGAGGTAAACTATATACATAACGTGAGATAATAATAATACAATTAAAATATTAATTTAAATTAATCTAAAAAGTTTGGAACAATAACTTTAGAAAGTGGCGGTGAAACTGGTTTTTTCAAGAAAGCATTTCCTGATCCAAGATTGCTTGCGAGTTATCTTTTTAGTTTTGCCTGGATTTGGTAAATTTAGATATATAGTAATAGAGTACATGCACAGATATTACATATCATTTAATTCTGATTTTTTTCTTCAATAATGTTTAGTGCGATAAGACCTGCATCTTTAGGAGCGGCATTACAGACCGTAGCACAATACTTTCTGTTTGCTATTATACCACATCCTCCTAAAGATACAAATGCAGAAAACTATTGTCAAGAATTATACCAATTTCATCAACGATTAAATCCAAATAATGAATGGGGATTAGATTTTTGGTGAGTAATTTATTTTTATTGCTATTTGAGATTGAAACTATCATGTATATGTTATTGATAATTATTATTATAGGATCTTAAAAATTATTGGAATAGCGGCGTTGGCGATTATCACGCTTTATCATATGCTTTCAAATGGGTTGGCCAATAAAATCAACCAAGCATTAGCAGTAGTTAAAATGTTAACTTTGATCGTCATAATAATTATTGGATTTGTTCAACTTATTAGAACAGATATCAGTAAACCAAATTGGCAAAATCCATTTCAAGATATAGAAAATCTTAAATTACCAAATCTTGCTAGCGCTTTGATTTCAGTATGTTAAATATATTAATTTGTTTTTTTTTTTTGCTTTTAAATTTGGAAAAAGATTTTTACCTTTTTTTGTTGAAAAGGTTTTTTTTGCATACAATGGTTGGAACAATTTGAATTGTTGGTGTCTTTTATATTAATATTTTTTCACTTATCTGCTCGTTAATTTATTCTAATCAACATATTATAATTTATTGATTATTAAAAAGACTCTTTGGATGAATTCAAAGACCCCAAAGGGAAATTGGTATACAGTAATAGTCTTAGCGTTACTGTTGTGACTATATTATGTAGGATTTTTTTTAATATTTCAACTAATTAAAATTAGTTTTGATTATATTCATAAAATTCATAAAATGGGATTTATATGTGCGTGTTTATGTTTATAGATGCTCTTACAAATGTTGCCTTCATCACAGTTGTGAAGTCTGAGGATGTAAATCAACCTGGAAAAGATTTCAATGAATTGATAGCGGGTACTTTTGCTAAAGAAATAGGCGGTGAAGATTTTGCAAGAGTATTATCTTTCTTTGTTGCTTTATCTGCTTTTGGTGCCGTATCTTCCATGACGTGGAGGTTTGTATGCTTAAATGTTTATATATTTTCTCTTGCAGAAATATATCTAACAAGAAATTTTGTTATTGTGATTATGCAGTGGATCACGTGTTATGGTTGAGGCTTCAAAAGACAATTTCATTCCAATTTTTTCTGGATTTTTAAGAAAATTGCATCATAAAAGATATACACCATACAATGCACTTCTAGTACAATTTGTCTGGTGTGTGATGGTATTTGTTATTCTTGGAGGAGCATTCTCTTCTGATGCATTCAAATTACTATCAGATTTTGCCACATATTTTGCATGGATTTTTTACTTTTTTGCTAGTGTTGGTTTATTGGTAAGTGTAAATAAATCATCTTTTTTTTTCTTTATATCACAATCGATACTCATCGATAATAATTATTGTTATCTAATAAAACAGTGGCTTAGATACAAAAAACCAGAAATTCTTCGGCCATTCAAAGTTTGGATTGTATTAACAGTCATATTTATATGTTCGGCAATATTTATAATTATTGGTAATGCAATCGAATTAGATATGCAACCAACACGTCTTACACCCAATGCTGTTTGTCAAGAAGATGCAAAAACCATTAAAAATTACATAAAATCAATTATATGTATTGGATGTTTAATTGTCGGGACTGGTTGTTGGTATGTTAGTTATTTCAGGCCTGATAAGAATCTATCAATTAATAAAATCAATCAAATCAGTCGACAGAGTCAACTTAACTAATTATTTATTTCAAGATGATTTTTATATAGGCGTTTTATAGACAATTTAGTAATTTAATTCTCAATAATTAATTATTAAATTTAATTTTGTAATATATTGTTATTTGTTGTCAAAAGATAAAGGATTTTTTTGTTCTAGAACACGAATTTTTATTGGCCAATGACAAGTCTGCTCCCAAGTAGTTTATATTAATATTAATATTGAAAAAATCTTTATAATTATTAATAACAATCACTGTCGATACCCTCTATCAGATCACATTTCAAAATTTTATTTTATAAAAATAACCATTTCGTAATTCTTGGATGTACTATGACAACATTTCATGCGCACATATAAATATAAAACTTTATCATCAACATAATTCATTTTTCTCATTTTAAAATGAATTCGAAATTTATGCCAACTTGGTTGTTTCAATTTACAAATTATGCTTATCAAACCTCAACTAGATATCAGACGTTAACTGATTTAGCATTTGTTTGGAGTGTGTTTTTTGCCTTCCCTTTATTCATATTCTTTATTTGGTCGATTGGATCTTTGATTGTTACCTTTAATATATGTATGTATATAGGCAAATTTTATCATTTTTATTAGTATGTTAATATTATAAACCGATCGATTGATTAAATATTATTTATTATAGGGCTTTTTACTTATATCATGGTTAATAGTCTAACGATTGGAATTGGTATTATGACATTGTTCACAATTGGAGTAATCAATTTCATGATATCAATTTGTCTTGCAATTTATTTTAAAATGTTAAGATGGATGTTTTATTCAACAAGACAATTATTCAAATATTTTTGGAAACTTATTTCATAAATAAACGTAATGGATCTTTTTAATCATCACACTTTTTCCAAAAAATAATAAATAATGTTTTAAGTAAGATTTCAATAAAGTGACAATATTAAAAATGGTTGCGTGGTGTAATGGTTAGCACCCAAGACTCTGAATCTTGTGATCCGAGTTCGAGTCTCGGCGCGACCTCATTTCTTTTGGTGGCGCAGATTTCTTCAATCACACGAATTTTAAAAGATTTGTGCAACTTCCTTAATAAGTTTCCTTTGGCTGATCCTTGAATTTTCTATCACGGTCGAATAAAAAATCCTCCCAGCTTTGGAAAAAAAATATTTCTTTATTATCCTATATTAATATACAATTAATTGGACCAGAATATGTGCAATTTCTAACTGCGACACTCGTAATGTTACGTGACGCATATTTTCTGATTTTTCTCTTATTTCAATGGATTTTCTTTTATATATATATACAGAAATAGTTAATTTCGTACAAGAGGTATGCTAATTCTTTTATAGGTAAAGATATTCAGCACGTATTTACTATAGTTATAATAGCAACAATATACGATTAAATTTTCATTGCCATCAACGCCAACATCAAAAACTTGGCCTCAGTAAGTAATATACAACAAACAGGCCCGTTTGCACTGCAGCTTGGAAGTAATATGTAATATTATTTCAATACATATATAGAGTAGTTAAGGACTTCGAAGGTCAAGGGATAATAATAAGATGCGCGGAATTCTTATTAATTAATTAATTAATTAACACAAGTAAGAAACGAAACATTTGCCGTGTCATGACCACCTTCCAAAATCAGTAAGGTGAGCGACCTTCGTGTAGGTTTCTCGCCGATTGTCTCCTTTTGCGTTTAGCCGCGCTTGATTTTTTCGGCTTTTGGCGCGATCAACGTTTTCACCATATTTGTGTCGTACGGCAAATGTTTCGTTTCTTAATAGATTCAAAACAAGCGTTGCATGCAATGCTTTCCAAGGTGAGGAGAGGCATGATCAATGAACCAGTAAAATTCTAACTTTTTCAAACCTAATTTTTTGGGAAAGAAAATTTTATTTTTCTGAAATCGATCTACGTGATTCTTTATTCTTTATTCTTTCTTTGATCTTTTTTCCACGTGATGAACGTTTATCGTGCAATAATAATATTTTTTTTTTCCAACCGAAGAGAACTATTTGGTAAGAATAAAAAGTTTTATTTATTTTACATTTAAGAAGAGCTATTT